AATGTTTGTTGATTGATTTGAGATATTTACGGTGCGTGCACAGGGATGCTTTTAGGGTTTTTTTTGCAAGTTTCGCATTTTCGGAAAACGGGGTTGCCACAAATATTTATCGTTAGAAAAGATCGATAACATTGCCTTCGATATCGGGAAATAATGTAGTAGAAGAATATTTCGATGACATATTTAGCGATATATTATGGGTTTTTAGGTGTTGCCGATTAATTATCGATATTGAGTATGTGATATTTTGAAGTATAGCTCTATTAGAAGTACTTATATCTTATATCTCTCAAATTTACGCTGCATAAATGTAAGTAGTGTGCATTATAGGAAACAAAATTAATGGATTCTGATATTTTTAGCGATATTTTAGTTTATTTATTAAAACTTAAATTTCGATATTTTCAAGTGATAAATTATCAATTGAAAATTTATTGATATTGTCAACGAAAAACTGCCAAATTTTATGTTTAGTAATTTGTCTGATATTTTTTCGATAAGCCAATTAGTCGAATTTTTTTAAAATTAAGGAATATAAATTATCGTAAAGTGCAATAAACTATTGTAGATATCGAAAGTTTGCTTAGTCACCGAGACGTAATGNAGGAAACAAAATTAATGGATTCTGATATTTTTAGCGATATTTTAGTTTATTTATTAAAACTTAAATTTCGATATTTTCAAGTGATAAATTATCAATTGAAAATTTATTGATATTGTCAACGAAAAACTGCCAAATTTTATGTTTAGTAATTTGTCTGATATTTTTTCGATAAGCCAATTAGTCGAATTTTTTTAAAATTAAGGAATATAAAATTAATTCAAAATTATCGTAAAGTGCAATAAACTATTGTAGATATCGAAAGTTTGCTTAGTCACCGAGACGTAATGAAGTATCAAAAGGTATTTAATTTACGAAGTATTTTTTTCAATAGTTTTTGTTTTTTTTTTTAATAGAAATTATTTTGTTTTCGCTGTGCGTAAATTTGCTCACCCGCTCGTTTTCTTTCTCGGCCTGTGCCACACACTCGCAATTTCTGCGCTCAATGCTGAATTGTAAAATTTTGAAATGATTTTTTTTTATATTAATAATTGTTTTTAATGCCAAAATGTTTTAATGGCGAAAAATTGCTTGACTTTTTTTAAATGTATTTTTTATCTGAAAGCAATTTTTCACCAAATTTTTGTATGGAAATGAAGTGTGCGAAATATTGTTTTCTGCTTTTTTTGTTAAAACAATTTGTTAGCTTTGAAAGTGTAATATATTTTTTAAGTTAAATTTTAGTTTTTAATTACAAATTTTTTAATAAGGAAATTAGGAAACTAGTTGGACTTAAAAAGTAGTTAATGCATTAGCTACACTGAGTAACAGTAATTAAATATTTAATATGATTTTCGTGCTTATACATATGTATGTATGTTTGTGAAATTATTATTGCAAAATAGAAAAAACAAAAACAATGGAACACTATTACAACAACGGAATCTGCGATTTGTTAAAAAGTGGTTGGTTGCCGAAAGAAAAATTATGTATGTATTATTTGTGTATGTACATATTTATGCGGGTATTAATATATGTATGTGTATTGTATGTTATATATATATTCTATTGTATATGAAATATATGGTTATGTTTATTAATTGTAAAATTTGCAATAATTTTCTTGTAATTAAAATGCTATGGATTTTTTAAGTTGTTATTTTATTATATGTATGTATGATGTATGTACAAATATGTCAATGAATTTCTATGAATAAAAAATTATTTGTATATTTTTATAAAGTATTCATGAATATATGTACGTAGGTATGTATGTATATCGGTATATATTTATTTATAAATGAAAAAAATATAAACAAATAAGTTCAGCTTGGCTATTTAGGTATGTAGTTGGAGGACTATGATTAGGTATTATTTTCGCTTTTCTTATTCCATTTTTGGGCTATTGTTAAAACACTATTGCAATGGCTGTTTATTTCCCAGTAGAGAAAGCAATAAAAATTTCGACGAGTCAACATTTTTTATTTGCCTTTCTACACAATTAGAATCAGCATACTTTAAAGTGTTTTGTTTTTTTTTTGTTTGTACTATTTTTTAAACTATTGGCTTGCTTGTTTGTTGGTTGATTGATTAAACTGCTTGCTTGTTTGTTTGATTGTTTGCTGCTCATTATTAAATTTACTAAGTGTAAGTGTTAACTATTAATTTTTGCATTAACAACTAATTGCTTCCACTTTTAACGGTATATGGATTACAGTTACAATTTGTATAACGGTTATATTTCGCACATTCAATGGTTACTGTAACTAATTAAACTAAAACGAAAAAAATGCATAAGGCAATGTTTGTTGGAAAACTATTTAACAATTAAAAAAAAAAATTTAAGAAATATACTATATTTATTTAAATTTACTTATTCTTTATATTAGTATTTATAAAAACTCAACTCAATCGTTTTTATGGTAAGCAATTAGCGTTAAGTATTATTTATTGTAACTGTCGATTGCATTAAAAACAAAGAGAACGCCTATGTATGTATGTAGAAGAGCATGTATGTATGTATGTATGTATGTATGTATGTTTGTGTAAAATTATTTAAAATTTTAGTTATTTATTATGCAAAATAAATTCCATATTATTTATATTATTCACTATTTTCATTACTTTATATTATCAATTAAAACATTTCAGCACCGTTTCAAGGCAAACGCAATTAACATATCTCACTAGATGCAAAAACAAAGTTTAAATAGAAACTTTTAATGGAACAAGTAGTTAAGTGGTAGTTATTGGAGTAGTAACTTTTGCAGTAGTTGCTTTCGGCTTAGTCACCACAGCAGTTAAAAGTGGAGTATCGACATAATAACCTTCATGGAAGCCAATTTCGCAGTGGCTATTTTTAGAGTACCTTCGGAGTAGTCATTTACCGTTTAGTAACTTTGTAGTCAAAACTATAGTAATTATAATCGGCATAGTTACTTTTGTATAGTGACTTCTGGAGTAGTTACTTTCGGAGCGGTTACTTTCGGTGTAGTTATTTTCAAAAAAGTTTTTTTTTACGCTACTATTTTTCAAGTTGCTCTTTGTGAATTTTCTTTAACAAGACACATTTGCTTGTGAGTTTCTCTAAAATTGAAGTTTTTTTTCTCAAAAATCATTGACTATTTTAGAATGTCAATGCTATGCATAAAAGCGAGTTAAAAAGAAATTGCAAGAAATCACGCACGTATGGCTGTATGTAATGGTGAAAAACGTGAAAAAAAGTTATACAATTTTCAACGTTTTCAAAATAATCAAAAATTTTTAAAAATATAAAAAGATTTTATGTGTAAAAAAAATTCCGTACGCTTTTGGAAAATTTGCAATGCCTATACTTTTGTAAAATCGTTGGAAAATTTGCAAATATGCAGGGAAAATCATAATTTTTAGCAAATATATATTTATTTTGATGTCTTTTGGGGCTTAAAATTTCGACGATATTTATACATTTAGTAAGATTTGCAACTTTTCGACCATTTTTGAAATTTTTGGAACATATTTTGGAAATCTTTGAAAACTTTTTTTTTAACTTATCGAATAATTTTTAAAATTATAAATTTTTTTTATTTTTTTGTATGTTATTCAGATTTGTATCGAAAATTTCCAAGTATGTACATATATTTATCTTTTTTCAAAAGGTTTCTAATTTTTTTCTATTTTTGCTCGCTTTTGTACATAACACAGACAGATTTCTCGCACCATTATGTTAAAATTTCCAATTTTTGCGCTAAAAATTTACTTTGCTGGCATTTTGCATTACTTTTTTCCCACACTAACGGTCGGTCTTAAATTATTATTAATATTTTTTTTTACACATCGGCAAAAGTACAAATTATTTTCTTCAATGCAGTGGTGCTTTCGGAGAAAAATTTGCTAGGCTTATTTGTTTCGTTTGCTATAAAGACGTCCGCTGCATATGTTTTTTTTTTGGCAAAAATTTCTACGTTTTTAGTTTATTCATTTAGTTTACATTTCTCTTCATACTATTTTCATGTTTTTTTTTTTTTGGTTTTTTCTGTTGGAGTCAGATGCTTTTTGGTAATTTTTTATGATTAGCTTTCTATACAAATATGCAAAATACTTTTTTGCTTTTTTTAGTTTTTTTTAGTGGATTATGCTTTTGGTTGTTTTTGGATTTTTGAGTTACTTTGAAACCGTATGTTTTTTTATTATTTATTTTAGACCAGCAAGTGCTTTATATATTTTTTATTGTTGTTTTAAAATACACTAGTTTAGGGTGAGTTTACACAGTCATGTGCCTTGAAGCATTGTAGGACACACTAGTTGCAGTAACAGTGTTACTGCGCTAACGCTCGCATAATCTAGATGGCGCACTCACGCTTAATGGGTTTTATTTTTGCTCTATGTAAACTCTCTCTAATATAGCAGTTTTGCCATTTGAATTTTTTTGAAAGCAAATTTGCCACAAAATAATTTTTAATTCCTGGGCCGATTTATGTCGTTATTAGTTTATTTGTATCTCAATATTTATTCTGCTTTTGGTTTTATGGGGTTAAAGGATTTCTTAAATTTTTCGGTTAATATTTTTAATTGTGGATAAATGGATTGATAACTATATTATATATAAAAGTTGTGTCTTTCAAACAACTAAAACTTCTCAAAACTTTTTGTTGTTTTTGAATTCAAAATTCCGTATTATTTTTGCCAAGTTTCATATGCAGCGCTGACGTTTCGCTTAGTTGGTGATAGTTGTTGCTTTCGCTCCTAACACATGGTGGGTTTAGCTGTTTTAGTGTCATTGCTGTACAAAATGTATGCAACTCTGTATCAATTCTGTACGCAGAATTTTAAATTTTGTTGAATTAATTTTTTTTTCTTTTTAGCGTTTTTCACCGAAAAATGTCTGTTGTAACCTCAAATTTTTGTGCAGACTTGTGGTTGCTGTTGTTATTGCTAATAATGTGCATGTGTTTGTTTGTGTGTGTTACAGTATGAAACATTTATTTTCTTTCTGAATGTTTTTGTTTCCGACTTGTAATTTTTGTATTTTCGTATTATTAATTGTTGTAGTTGTTCTTAATTTCGCGCCTAATGTTTCTTATTTGTTATTTAAGCGAACAAATTTGTGTTTTTTTTTGTTTTTTCGTCTGCCGGATTTATTAGCGCTGCTCATAATGTTTTTATTTTTTGTTATGGTTTAACATTCATAATATTTTTTTTTGTTTATTTGACTGCATTTTTGAATTATAATTGTTTTTTGTTTTATTTTTATTTTTGCTTTAATGTAAATTAGGCTGGTTGTCTTCTTTGAATGCTTTTTCTGTTTCTTCTAAAATTATTTCTCTTTTGTTTTAAATTTTATGCTTGACAAAAATCATCATTACTATGTTCTTGACATCATTACTATTTTTTCTTTCATTATCATCATAATCATTATAATCATCATCATTAATGTCCACATCGACGATCAATCATTATTGATGTTTAAAAAAGAAATATTGTTCATAATAATAATTATGTTTATAGTATATTAGAAAACCTAAATACATCATCATACACATTTCTCTGCATTTAATTTAATAAAAAAATAATAATAATAAAAATAAAAAAATATTATATAATAAAAATGCTTCAACAAAACGAATTGAAACGCGTATATTTTTGTTTTTGTTTTACTACTTTGCTTACTGACTTGACGCAGATGGTTGTTGTTGTTGTTGTGGTTGTTGTTGCTGTGGCGACTGTTGTTGCGACTGCTGCGGCTGTTGCAGTGATGGTTGTGGCTGCTGTTGCTGTGTTACCTGCTGCTGCTGCTGTTGCTGCGGCAGTTGCTGAGTCCCACTGCCGGCAGCGGCAGCAGCTGCTGCAGCGGCGGCGGCGGCGGACTGTTCTTTGGCAGCTTTTTGCTTCTTGGTAACCGGCGGCGGATTCGTCGACATCATCATGGCACGTATGCGACGCTGTGCCGACTGCAAGAAGAAAAAAGATTGAATTAGAAAAAATGTATAGGAAATATACAAAAAAAAAAAGATGAGGAAGATGTGTTATCGCTACGTTATCGTTTCTTATGCTAATAAGGATAGCTATGCCGTGGCCGTTAGTTTTATGCTGAGACCGATATATGCACATAAGTATATGTCGATATCGATAATTTCCGAAAACGACGTTTCTTGGAATTTTTTATAGACATATTGGGGCGAATTCTTGTTTTCGTACGAATCGAAAATCATGAAATTTTCCTATCATTTTCTATACAAAAATTTCAAATTTTCGATTCGTACGAAAACCAGAATACGCCTGATTATATAGATTTTGCAATCGAAAATATTTGTATTAGCATCATCCATTGATATCGATATCATTTATGTATAGCTATATCGAGATGGCGATATCAATATACATATGTACATATCTACTTACGCATATGCATTAGGGCGGTCCTTAAAAAATCAAATAGACCGATTTCTTCCAGTCTCATCCTTCAATCGGTAATACCACGATCACAGATATCACATATATGTAAATTTCGGTATCGATTGGAGACGGCGGTTAGGGCGTGTGGGACAGAGACTCAAAAAATTAAAATTAATTCTTTTTTCATCTAATACCCAAAATCGATACTACCATAGTCGAAGATATCACATATAAATTTTGGTCCCGATTGGAGTCGATTAAGGCGTGTCGCAAAGGGGTCAAAGGCCAGATGCCTCTATGGAGACAAAAAATTAATTTTGTTTTTATTTACTGAATACCCAAAATCGATATTACTAAAATCGAGGATATCACATATAAATTTTGGTCCAGATTGGAGCCCGTTAATTTTAATTTTTTGAGGCTCCGTAGACTCGTCTCGAATCGGGACCAACATTTAAAAAAAATTTAACTTGAAAAACGTAGTGAATATTAAAAAAAAAATTTACACATGAAAACTATATGAAATTTCTGATGTATTTATCGATTGCCTAAAGTTGTATACACATATTCTTTACCAGAAGTTGGCGTAATCTCACTAGTTATCGTTTTTCTTTCGATGAATTGATCGACTTTTTATATTTATTGATATTTTTATCGATTTATATCGACAAAACATTTTTATCGTAATCTGTGCAATTATCTTTTACGTTTTTCTTATCGAAACTTTTATTTACATGTTTATCGCCATCGCTATCGTTGTTATCGTTACTTTGCTCTGTAAAAAAAAATTAAATTGTTTTATTTTTTTCTCACCTGCACGCTATAGAATTGACCAATTATGTGCACGGGCGTCTCCTCATCACCACCCGCTGCTGGCGCCACCGCATGCTCTGGCAGTTTGATTACACTGCCAGTGACGCGTTGCAAGTCACGAACATTCTGACCGCCCTTGCCAATTATTCGGCCCACCTGCAAAATACATATATTGAAACATATATTTGTTTATGTGAATTTTTTTTTACACCATTTTAAGCGTAACTCACCTGCGAACTGGCCACCATTATTTCGACAGTTAGTCGCACATCTTCGGTGCCGCACATGAAACCCTCCTCGCGCATCTTTTCGAAAATCATATACTGCGCCTTCCATTGACCCTCCGGCGTACCGACGATCGTCACCTTTCGTTCGGTTTGCATATCGGCCGGCTTATCGGTGTCGATCGGGGCGATCTTGAGCGAGGCATTCGAAAAACGCATTATGCTGCGTATATGTGAGCCCTTGGTGCCGATAATCGCACCCACCGCATTATTCGGTATATAGAGGTATGTGGTCTCCTGCATGTCATTGGGGAAGACGGGCGGCACCACGCTCGCCGGTGTCTTAGACATCGGGAAGCCCGGGCACGATTGATATGGCATGCTGGGATTGAAGACCATACCGTTGCCGGGTGTCGACATCATGGCCATCGGATGGAGGCCGGGGAACATAAGCGATTGTGGTGCCATTGCTTGCAAGTCATTCTCGTAGCTTTGACGCAATTTCGAGCTAATCTGCGCTTCGGCACGTGACATATTGTCAATTTGGCCCTTAACCGTAATTATGCGTTCCAAATTGAAGCTGCTGATGTCATTGATCGAGCTGACGGTGATCTTGGTGTCTGTCTCTTGCATGATACGCTTTATGGTGTTGCCATTTTTGCCAATAATGCGACCGATGAGATTGTTGTGGGCGAGAATTTTCAAACAGATGTCGCTGTTGGAAGGGCGAAGGAATAAATACAGTTAAAATCAGAGGACATGAGTCGAATGGGTTAAATTTGAAACAAAAAAATACGGTAAGACATAGATATTTGATAGAGCTGAAAAGTTGTTTAAAAAAACATAGCTGAAAAATCTGAAGAATTTATGTATGAAAGTTTTTTAATTTGTAAATTAAATTTTTTGTACATAATTTACAATTTTGTAATTGTTTAATTTGTAAATTCTTTTCAATTTGTATTTTTTACGTTTTAATGGTTTTTAAATTGTAAGTATTAAATTTATAAATTTTCTTAATCTGTAAGTTTTTACTAAATTTAATTTGTTTAGTTCCTATCAATTTTGACGAGATGTATCAGTATTTTCTAGTTAGACTCTTTCTTCAAAATTGAAGAAAAGACCTACAAAAATTATTTCTGAAAATTTTTGGTTTAACTGTTGCAGGGAACCCACAAATTTTTTTTCTTTCTTAAACTTCGGTTTTAAGATTTTTGGTTTTGATTTTAACTACGAAAGATTTACCAATTTTAAAATATTAAAAAATAAACTTTTTTGCTTTTAATTTATATTTCTAGCAGATGATTTTAGAGTGATGAAAAAAGTTGCCTCTATCTTGTTTTGTATATTTTCAAACCAATCACAAATTTTAAGAGAGTTTACTTTTTTATTAATTTTAAAGCTTTTGAAAATTTTTACGTTGAATATTTTGTAAGCCGTTTCAAGTGAATTTCTTAAAATTTTAAATTTGCGACTTCGGAATTTTACGATTTACTTTACTCAACGTTAAAAGAAAAACTTTTGAAAGAGAAATTTGTGTTATTTTCCAAAATTTAAGAGTTTTTTAGATTACACACTTATTATTTTTGACTGTATCGGAAATCTCATCTTAAAATTAATTAAAATTTGTAGTTTTTCAAAACTTTAAAATTTCTTACTTCACGATTTCAAGTTTGTGGAAAAAATTCGTCAAAGTTTGATCGTTTTCTATACACAGTTGGTATACAAAAAAAATATAGACAAATAAAACATATCTTCACCATTTTTGGGTATTTAGATATTTGTAAGACTGAACATATTCTCCTTGTCAAGCTTATTAACTGCATGATGAAATCTCCAAATTAAGCTTTATTTCTGGAAGTTTTGAAACTATTTCCTTAATATTCTAGATAATCGGGCAGGTTCTGGAATTCACTTCCGAGTGAATTTCAACCCCTGCCAATTTGAATTCAAAGCGAACTTGACTCAAATTCACTCGGAAGTGAATTGCAGAACCTGCCGGGCTATAGAATTATTTTTTTTATTTCTTTATTTTTGCTCTTTGGTTCAGCAAAATTCATATTATCTTACATCTGTTGAAAAAAAAATATATATTTTTTATTTATGAATTCGGAAAATTTAAATTTTTTTTATATTTTTACATATTTATTTGTTTATAAAAAGCAATGATAAGAAAATGAATTAAACAAATTTTAGCTTTAAAAAATAAAATTGGGAAAAAAATTTGTCTTAAAATTTCCACAAAATCGCGTAACTATTGCCTTTATTATCAAAAAAGATCAAAATTTACATAAATTTCTTTAAAAAAATTTAACCATGCATGGCCATTTTTTCAATATTAAAATTGAAATATGAACCACACTGCGCATGCGTAACTCACCCCTTATTCGTTGAGATGGCCTCCTGTTGCATCACCTCCAAAATTCGCTTGCATGCATTTGTACAATTCTCCGGATTACCATAAATGGTTATGGCCTTCTCTAGCGAACCGACATTCTCCTTCCGATGCACATCGACACGTGCGCGACTCTGTTGTGTTATCGTACGTATGGTGCTACCTTGACGGCCAATAATGGCGCCAACCATTTCGCTTTGCACAAGAATGCGCAGCGGAAAATCAGCTTGACGTCCGGGTCCTGGCATACCGGGATATGGATTGCGTTGGTTGCGATTAGTACGACGTTGATTTTTATCCAATGGCTCGGAGTGCAATTTATTGCCCTCGAATTCGACACCGTTCAATCCGCCAGCAGCTCTGGAAGAGAGAGAGAGAGAGAGAGAGTGATATAAGAAATGATGCTCTGTTAGAAAAGATTTGCACAAGCTCGACTTAGGACAGTAACAAATGGAATATATTAATTAAGAGTATACATAGTTTTTTCAATAAAATTTAATTTTATAAAAAAACTACGTTATGGAGAACCTTATTTAATGGAGTTGTTCTTAAAATTTTCTTTAAAACCAGTTTTAAGACTAATTTTTTTACCAGAAAAACGCTCCTAGTAAAAGAGCTAAAATTTTTTTTTTTTTATTTAAGAACGCAATATCGCAGTAGCGCATGTATCTACATTAGGTGGTAAAAAAAAAATAAATAAAAAAAAGTATACCTACCCCCAAAACATAAGCCTACAAAATCGAAAAGGCCCCCATGAAATTTTTGGACTCTTTATGAGACTGAGTAGTAGATCTTCTGCTCAACGAATGAGGTTCGAACTCAACAATTGTCTCATATACGTATGTACATACTTACGTACTCATAATAGACGATGAAGAGAAATTATGAAAAGATCAGAAACAAAAAACGTGATAATATTTTTGGAGTTCCATAGTGATGCTGTCAAAATTGACGATGGTGAGAAAAAAAAAACACAGCTCTTACTACCTTAGCCAACTGAAATGGAAAAGATTATTTGTTTTGTCCCATTTGCTTCCATATAACGAGTAAACACAATTTATTTTTATATGTAAGAAAAAAATAGTAAAAAACCAACGACAATTTTTAGCCATTTGAAACTTGTGGTTTATTCTACTAATTAAAAAAATTTTAAATTTTTACCAAAGTTTAGTGTATTTTTTTTAAATATTGCAGAAAGTTTGAAACTTAGATTTTAACGGGTTTTGTTAAAAAATTAACTACATAAAAAAAAATAACCAAAATTAAATAACAAAAAAACTCAAAAAGTGGTGCGGCTATAATTTGGCTGAAAGGACAGTGATGTCATTAACGATAACAATCACTATAAAGAAATTTAAAGAAATTTCATAGATAAGAAAAAAACATCGATAACGCTTAAAATATCGTTGAAGTAAAATGTATATTTTCATAGGAATATCACACAAACATACCTTTAAAGATGAAAATATCGATAACTACAAAAATTTCGATTACCTATCAAAAACGATAAAATATCGATAACTATAAAAATCCATAACCATAAATTTATCGACAAAGGCGAAAATATTCGCCAACAAAAAAACTCCATAAATGTATAACACATTCCTTAAACAGCAGTGCGCTCGAAGAAAGAATTCCCCCCACTTATTTTGATTTGAAACCCACTTTGAGTGTCAATTAGAGAATAAATTTTCAGAACCGCAACATTCAAAGCTCCGTTTCAACACTCGTATTACGTTTATAAAATAAAAACACTTATTTTATAAATAAAAGAATAAATAAGAAATAAAACATAAAACCATAAACATTAAACAAAAAAAAATAATAAAAACATATAATAAAAAACAAAAACTAAGCAAAAACAAGAAATGAAAACATTACAAAATATGTAATACCTTTGAGCCTGATCGGGATTTTCGAATGTTATATGTACAGTCTGAGTATTGGGGTCCTTACTAGAGACAGCCTCACACTGTTTGACGATGCCGTATGGCTTCAGTAGAGGTTCGATGTCTTCAAAACGCGTTTGCAGCGGTATGCCGCTAATAAGAATTTTCGATGTTGAAATGCTGTGAACAAAGAAGAAATAAAAGTAGAGAGAAGTAGAAATAATAATAAAGAAAAACCAACAAAAAAGAAGAAAACACAACATAACAACAGCGAAAATTCATACATATCTATTAAGTGAGATAAGCCGTGTGGGTGATACAGTACAAAGTTTGTACATATGTATGAACGTACATACTACATATTTTTAAATATGTGAAATACACGAAAGCAATGCTCAGACTTAATTTTTACACTGATGAGATGAGCTCAATCTCAAGAATTTGTACTGAAAGTTGAGTCGGAGCTTGAGCTCACCTTCTAACATGTGATTCGAGTGAAAGCAACTACATAATATGCATGTATGTACATACATATGTAACTACAAGACTTAGCATACTTTGTGGAGTGCAAATACAGAAAAAGCGTGTACAATTTGAAAACGAGCTGCGCCTAAATATAGGCAACGTATGCGCTACATCGGTTTTTGTATGTTTGTTTTTGGAAAATCAAAACTACAAGCAAAAATGGTAATAACGTCAGCATAAGAGGCAGAGGGAGTGTTAAAGGTTGGACCTAAGGCTCCGCGCCTAAATGTAGGCAACGTTTAAGTGATGCAAACTGCTCTTAATTAACTTAAAGGCTACTTTCAGACAGCAGCAGCAAGTTAAGGTGAAAAAGAATGGATAGGCCAGTGCTATGCTTACTAAGCATAATTCTAAAGCATACCGTAGGGCGTTAGGGCAGCAAATAAAATACTACACACACTTTAAAATAGTCACAAACACACACACGCTGCCACAATGACAGCGCGCGCTCATACCTCAACATGATCGTATCCAGGTTTTCACAGAATTTACTAAATTTTTCAACTACTGCTTGAGGCCCAAGATTTACTTGCTTCTTTCACTTGAAATCAGAAAGATCACTCCTTGCCGATTCCTCTGTTAACTTTTCGCTCAACTTGTAACAAATTTTAAGAGACTGTATGTGTGGCTGAATTGCATTGAACACCGTTAAATTTCGCCAGGAATTTGTAGAAAATTCGCAAAAAAAATTAAAGCTACAAAAATTTGACTTTATTTCACACACCACTCCCACGCCTTGAAACACTTCGCTTCACTTCACGCATAACTACACGCTCATACACGCACGCGCACGCATCCACTGAGCCGCGAACGAGCAAAAAAGGACGAAAAAAGAAAACGAAAAAACCGGGACGTACGACAGCGTTTCACAAGGAACAATTTGAGCGTCGGTGGAATTTTGTTCCCTTTTACGGCACGAATTTTTCGGCATGAAGTTTGTATGGCCAAAAATTTGTAGTGATTTTGCACAAAAATTTTAGACAACTAAAACGTAGGCGAAACGAAGAAACTAAACTATTGCAAAATCCACAGCATAATATAAAATCTACGGGAAATTTTTGAAATTATTGACTGAAAACTGAAATTGATGACTTATATTTTGAAAACAAGATGGAAAAAAAAAATTTTCAAAATTTAAAAAATTTAACAGAAAATGCTATACAAAACACTGTGTGATTTTCTTAGAACGAAAAGTGTGGACGCGTTAGTGCATGGCGAAAAGGAGTGGGTCTTGTTATGATATTTAAATAAAGCTGATAACATAAAGTAACAAGGAGCAAATTTATAAAAACTAAATAAAAAACCTATTAAATAAAAAACATACTTAAATATTACAAAAATAAATAAACAAAATAAAGTAACATAAAAGAAAGTAAAAAATTAAACAAGAAAAAGTAAATAAAATACAATATGTAAAAAACACTAAGAAGAATATAATTAAAAATGAGCTTCAAAAAGGAAAAATAATATATAATAAATTAAAATTAACACATTAAAACAAGAAATAAGATAAATTAAGTAGAGAACATAAAAGAAATAAAAAATATGATAAAAAATAAATAATGGATACTTGTAAAAAATTAAAAAAAAAAACCATAATTTAAATTGATTTTTTGAATTTTTTTATGCTGTTGTGTACCTATTTATTTTTTATAAAATTGTTTGTCATATTTTTTAATTTTACAAATTGCTCCTTGTTTTTGCATTTACGTTATCTTAATTTTTATTTTAGTTCTTTTAACTTTATTTTTTCATTAAAGTAACATAAATAAAATAGTAATTAATTTTTTTATTCATTGTTGAAAATAAAAATTAAATTTAATAAAAATGTGATTGAAATGAAATGAAATAATGTAAAATAAAGAATATAGCAAACCCAAATTCTACGATTAATTTTAAGCAAAAATGGCGAACAAACTGTATACCAAAAATGACATTTGACGCTCCCAAATTTCAAAAGAAAAATAAATTTTTTAAATGAAAAATTAATTTCGTTCAGAAAAAAATATAATACACTGAGTTTTCTTTTTTCGAAATTAAATTATCCCGCTCTAATATACCTATGTATATACAGAAAATTAAAAAAAGGAAAAAATAATGGTCAAATAAAGTTAAATAAAATAAAATATGTACAATACAGCAAAAAAATAAAATAAATAGCAGTAAACATAAAAACTAAGAAGAAAAAAATTAAAATGAAAATACAATAAATAAAAATTTAATAAAATAAAATGTAACAAAATAAAAAGTTATAAAATAAAGTAAAATTTAATAAATTAAAATGTAAAATATATGTAAAAAGGTTACAAAATAAAGTGAAATTTAATAAAATAAGGCAAAATAAATTAATAGTAAAAAAATGAAAACAACCTTTCTATACATGCATCAAATCGAACCATAAATACAGGTTTCAGATATATCGACACCTGCGCCATCTATCGGCAAACTTTTTTGTGAAGTATTTTTGTATTGGAAGCGCAGATTTTAGAAATATATCGACTCCGCGCCACCTACCAGCTAAATTTTTTGTGAAGCTATTTCGTTCTATGCAGGTAATATATCTTCGCCTGGATAAAAGATTGTCATAGGGGCCATTTAACATTCGCCGAGACTTTGGAGAACATCTATCGTCGCGTTTTTGTGAAGTTGTATTCCAAATTTCAATCGGGATTTCCTAAAATCTGCCGAAAGGAATATACGACAACCTTTTAAACAGGCACCGATATGTACATTCCAAATTTTATTTATTTATTTATTTATTTTCTTTACAATATCGGACTATGAGTACGGAGTTTTCAAATATCTCGTCCCCCTGCGTCACCTAGCGGAATAATTCGTCGTTAACATTGCATTGTCATCGGGTTCTGAGCTGGGTTTGAGATTTTAAGTCTCTTAGTCTTTGACCCAAAGAAACATACATACATATGCATATATGTACATATGTATACATATACATAACAAGCTAAATAAAAGCTTTTAATAAAAAAAAATTATTTAATAAATCAATTTATATTGAAAAAGCGTAATAAAATATAATATAAAAAACTAAGAAATTACACAAATGTCATAAATACAAAAAAAAACTAAATTTAAGAAAAAAATTAATAAAAAAAGCTAAATTTAATAAATAAACAGAATTAAAAATTCAATTCATCAAAGGAAAATAAAATCAAACAAACTGAGTTGGATTGAACTAGAATAACATAAAATAAAATAAAAACAAATGTTAAAAAACTTAAATTAAGTAAATTAAAATAATTTTTTTTTATTTAATTAAATAAAATAAAAGTTATAAACAAATATAAAGAAAAAATAAACAATGAAGCAAAAAATAAAAGAAAAAAATTTTAAGCAAATATGTTCTAAAAAAATTATTTATATGAATAAGAAGAACAAAATCATTATGTAATCAAAAAATAAATGCATATGTAGATAAATTAAAGAGTTTACAAAAA